TCTCTAAATTAGGGTTCCCTTTGAGGTTCCTTAAAGGGATCTATAAGGGCTTCCAATAAAGGGTTGTATGGGTTTAGGGTTTAGGGTTGATGATCTAAACCCTGCATTAGCCATAATAAGGAATATACCACTTACGGTTTAATTTAGGGTTTAGGGGTTTAGGGTTTAGGGTAGCCGTCATAAGGAATATACCATAATTACCATAGTTTAGGGTCCTTAAGGTAATGCAGGATTTATATCATCAACAGTAGTTCTCTAAATTAGGGTCCCTTTCGAAAGGTTCCTTAAAGGGATCAATTTGGGTTTCTATAAGGGTTTGTATAAGGGCACCATAAGGGATTCTATATAGGTAGTTCTCTACATTAGGGTCCCTTTTAGGGTCCTTTTCATAAGGGTGCCGTAATATTTGGGGAACCTGAACTTTAAAAGGGGGCCCTAATTTAGATAACTACGTACTCCTCGTGGGATCCCCCACACATTTATGGTAAAGCAATTGCCAAGCTTCGTTATAAATAATGTAGGGGCCAGATAACTACCAATACTATTTGGAAGTTCCTTATTGTAGTTATAGTATAATGGCCCCAAAACCTATTCTAATTATTAAGGCCCCTACATCATTCTTAGTATGTTGACATACATTATACCCTTGCATGGATGGTATCTTGGCCGTGGCGCACATAGTTCTCGCCGGCGCTTTGCACAAGGCAGCCTGAGTCATTTGTTAGTGTGGTTTCTCCTTGGTTCCCTGATGAGTTTACGGAAGAGAAACCCACCAAACCTAGTCAAAAGCCTCAAACCTGGTCAAAACAGCCAGGCACATACATAGAATATACATAAGTACATATGTGGATGCTGATAATTATTTGTTTGTGTGGTTTTCTGAATGTTCATATTCTGCATTGTTTTGTGTTCGTTTGTTTATACGTATATTCAATGCTCACCTTCCGTGTTATAATCAGCATGCTAGAGTTCGGATCCTGAAAAGGGTTTATGAATTAGGGTCCTATTTCCAACTTTGACGACAGACTAATCATCCCAAATCCCAACATTACTAAAGTGTCAGGGTTTCGGGCTCCTCCCTCCTGGGATGTCCTCTCGTGCAGTCTCTGCTAGGCCCTCTACTTCAAAGCGGCACCCTCGAACAAACCCCTAAACCCCTAAACCGTAAACCCCTAAACAATCCAATCAGATCTTGACCAGCCCCCGAAAAGACTGGCCTTTACTGGCGTGCGAAAGCTCTCTTCGGGCCGGAGGGGTTTGGACGAAAGCAAGAAACCCTTCACTCTACACTAAATCCCATGTCCCAGATCTTCAGCTGTGTCGTAGCTCTGGTTGACGAATTGCGGCTTAGGGTTTAGTAAGCTCCGCAAACTCTATACCTCAGCCCCAGCTGCATAGTGAGATTTCATGGGTGTTCCCTCAAGCAAGGTAGGGTTTTCTGGCTACAGGCACCCCCTACGCTCCAAACCACCCCAAACCCTAAGCCATAAATCTATCTCCTCAACCCGAAGCCCTTAGCCCCTAAAGGAACCCTTAAAGGAGCCCTAAACCCTAAACCCATTAATGTAAATCCTCAACCCGAAACCTTCTCTGAAAGAACCGGGAACCTAGTTATAGAACCCATTTTGAGCCCTTATAGAAACCCCACGCCTGTTTCAGTTCAGCGCTCGCTGCGTGGCAAAGTGCCGACCTCTAAACATCGAGCATGGCCTTTGGAAAGTTGCTGGTTTGGAACCCTAAACCCTAAACCCTAAACCCTAAACCCTAAACCCTAAACGGGCTACCGTAGAGGGTTCCTCCCAACCATATTCAATACTCTAAGTATGAAGGCCCTTATAGGTGGTTGTCAAAATGATGTTCCCTTCTTGGGGTCCTTATTATAATACGGCACCGATTATTTAGG